GTACATACCATCTTGTTCCTCCTTCAAATATGTGGAAAATAATATTTGTTAGTGCTTATGCATTGAAGCTCTACAGCAAAAGATGGAGTGAAATTGCAGACTAAAGGTCACCTGGATGTCTGATTTCTCCTTCTTCAACAAGGTCTTGCCTTCTCCTGATGTCTGGCACTTGTTATGACCATCTATTTGCAATCAGACAAGAAAGGAAGATGTTGACCTGCCTCCATAGGCATGGTCATCTGGTTACTCAGTCTCATGGTCAGAAGCAGAGCTTGGAAAACTTTCTTTTTTCTTCCATTTCCCAGCCGTCCCCGGTGGAATGGACAGTGGCCATCATGACCCAAGGATTCTAGGAGCTGTGGTCCAAAAACTAGTTTTGAGAGCTGTTATTCAAACAAGTTCTGAGCAAAACACGCTCTGTGAAGCAGACATGTTAGTTGCAATACGTAGCATCCATTTCCCTTACAAAATGGGTAGGAAAGCACTCAGAAAACCTTCTCACAAATCCTTCTAATAGCTTTCCCTACCTTTGAAAGGACAATGTTATTGTCCTCTGGCAAGTCATTTTCAGCTTCTGGCGACCCTGACAGGGTTTGTGAAGTACATAAAATGTCTCAAGAGGGATTCACGATTGTTACTCTCTAGAAAGATTTGAAGGGCAAGGAGGGATTGGAATCGAGGTCTCCTGAGCCATAGTCCAATATTCTATCTACTTTACCATAGTGAGTCTGAAAAATTAATTCAACTTGCCCCCAACCCAATCTTTCCACTTCCCTGTCATGAAGATCCATCCTGACCATGTTAAGGCTCAACCTGACTGTTAACTGTCACTTGGTTTGCAGAGAAACAAGAACTCTCCAGATTGTTACCTCACTCTGACATCAGAGAATTCTATTTCTCTTTGGCCTGAGCTGTATCCATGCCAACCGTAAGAACCCATCAATCTTTGTGATTACAGAACCATCAATCGGAGTCTTTTAAAAACATCAGAGTGTTGGTCTTATAGTGGACTGGAGGAACAGTCTATAGTGACACATTCACTAAGCAACTCACTGGATACTGAGTCCCCATGCCTATGGGGCCTGAGGGGATTCTGTGTGCTGTAGTCCGACACCAGAAAGAGTTTTCAGTCTTGGCTTGGAAATTTTTTTAGGAGCCACCATGTTGCCTCTGACTTTGAGCATTGATGGAATAAAAGTAAGACTAAGTGGAGGTGTCCTTTCTTGATTAATGTCATCGAAGATTAGATCTGCCTGAAGTGATGGAGGTTGTTCGACATGTAGTTGTAGGAATTTAGCCATTCTGGATATCATCTCTGAATAAGAAATGAAATCCTCTGAAGGAGATGGAGGATGGTTATCGATAGCATCTGTGGTTGGTGTAGGGAGGTATGATGGTAAAGTAGTGTGTATTGCACACATTTTGGTTCTTGATAATATGAATGTCCTTCGTATGCTTCCATGTGATATGGATTGCAATATGGGACAACTTCCTCCACGTCAAAAATGATGGTACTGTGGAAAATTGGTATACTGGTAGTACTCTCCGTACAGAGGCATGTATCAAGGAGGAGAAATATGCTTCCGTTTCGCCTGAAGTTTTTGGGGAGAGTGTTGAGGAGAATCCAATCCTGAAAGTTGGATTTCAATCGCCCGCCCTGATGCAGGGCTAGAATGGGCCGAGGCCTGGCTGGATGGTGCATCAGCCATTGAGAGCCAGTGTGGGGAGATAGGCTACCAGTTGACACCGGAGCGCGAGCCTTTTTTGTTCATGGACATCTCCCAAGTGTGAGATCAGAGCCTTTGGAGCCTTTGCTTAAGTGCTGGATTGGCCAATTTTTTACATGCTGTACAAGAAAGGGTTGGATGTTGCTCGCCCAAGCAGAATACGCAGCATTTGTGGCCATCAGATAATGGGATCTCATTTGAACAGCCGATGCAGCTTTTAAAAGGAGCTGTTGAGGCCATAAAGAGTGGAAAACCAGAGGGAGAGATGGTTGAAGAGATGGGGAAGAGGTGGGAAGCCAAAAGCAAGAAAGACAAAGAAACAGAACTAGCTGATGGAAATGTTGATTAGTTGATTGCAAAATAAGGTATCAATTTACATGTTGATTAGAAAAGGAAATACTAATATAGTCGCTAAAATTGCTCAGAAACACGTTCTATTCTTCTGGAGATCTGATCAGCATAGTGGAAAAAAAGAACTGAAGGGAATCTTAGGTGGGCAGAGCATGTGCTCAACAGGGGAACGTCCCACTAACTTTGTACTTTTAAGCTCTAAAATATTCTGAGACATTCAGTGTAGGCACAAAACAACCCATTTGTGTGCATTCAGAGAGGCCACGAAGAAGAACAGTAGTCTTCACCACTTGGAAATACGTAGCTTGCTGTTCCAGAGCTCTGTTTGAAAGACTCTACTGTGAGCTCAGTGGTGGACGCAAAGGAAAACCAGATGCTAGACATGACAGGAAACAAGCAACTATATTTCACCTTAATTTATTTTAATGGCAGAAACAATGCAATGGGAGAACAATTCTGTGACCCAGTAGAGAGTTCTAATCTTCCAAATAGAAGGGCTGGGAGGTGGGAACAAATGCCCTGAAACAGGGTTCAGCCTGAGCCCCCTTTTTATTATTCTTCACACTGAAAGTTCTCAAACATGAGGTTGAGTGACCAGCAGAAATAAATTATACCAGTTCATCCTGTCAGCTAAGCTGCCAGATCTGGAGAGCTTGCCCTTTTCTTCAGGAAAAAGAAGATGTTCCTTCTTGGCATCTACTCACTGTCAATGTCGATTTCTTCCGTCATCTCAACCAGCTCCTTTCTGCAAAGAAAGAAGACAGGTCTCAAGAATTATGATTTTAAAAGATGATGGTACAGCAGATCAGTTAAGTCAAACTGCTGGCAAAACTGCAGTCTTATTACAGACAGGCAAGTGTTTAGAAACATGTACTAACTGAAAGAAAAAAGGGTGCAAAACTATACTTTAGCTGAAAAACATGTTCAACAATAAAATCATTGCTCTGAGTTAATCTATTTGTTGCTACTCACTTTTCCTCTTCTGAGAGCTGAAATTCTTCCAGAACTCTCTTGGCAAGATCTGAAGTTGAAGGTAAGCTGAAGCTAGCAGCCAGTTTTACTAGGTCAAACGCCTGCTTGGTTTGGTTTTCTTGCTTTATGCAATTCAAGATCTCATTCATCACCAAACAACTGCATATGAGAAAGACAGAGACTGTGGTAAGCTTGGCTATGCCAATGGCATCCCTACTACAGTAAAATTTAATACATGATTCTGTCTCCAGAAATATGAATCAATTGGTGAATATAATCAAATGTTGTGCTTCTTGGTTTATTATGCACAAATGCCTTCTTCAATGTACCCCAAAGCAACCAGCTGCCCTTATGTAGTTGAATGTGTGCCTGTTCAGCCGAGTAAAATCAAACCATGCTTTCTTAAAGTCTTAGTATGATAGCTGGGCTGAAGATTACAGTACACAACTACTGATAATATGGGATAACAAGCTATCGTTCTTTTCTGTGAAAGGGTCTTTTTCTTTATGACTTGTTCCATGCCTTCTCTCTGTCCTTCCTTTTGGTTCTTGAGCCTCTGAGAGAGACTTCCACACTCCACAAACAAACAAACAAAACAAAACAATGTTCTGTGGGCTACAGATATATGACAGTTGAGGCTGGAAAAGCAGCAATAGCACCACGATGGAAATTAGAGGGTTTTGTAGCAAAGACACTGTGACAGATTTCGCTCCCCGTTTCACCACAAACTAGCCTCCTTTGTTCGGCAGGACTCTACCACTCTTTTCCCCTTTATACTGAATACTGGGCCCAGAAACAAATCCTTCACTTAAAGAAGTAAACTACAACCAAGATGCAGTGCTTCAGGTAAGCAAACAAAAATCTCCCTTGTTGCCCCCTCCCATCTCCTCCCACTTCTGAGTAGTTTTCCACTGCCCCAATATACTTACATCCCCCCCACTTATTTGGCCCTTTCATAGAGCTGAGAAAGTGTTTTATTGGCTCTCTTCTTAAGATGTGGCTCTCTTCTTAAGTCACTTCATGATAATGGCAAACTGACATTGTATAGTTCAGGACACACAAAAAGGGCCAACTGGAATCGCTAAGCGAGGCACCACTGTATCTATTTTTAAAGTGATCTACACTGCCCCAATATACTTACATCCCCCCCACTTATTTGGCCCTTTCATAGAGCTGAGAAAGTGTTTTATTGGCTCTCTTCTTAAGATGGGGCTCTCTTCTTAAGTCACTTCATGATAATGGCAAACTGACATTGTATAGTTCAGGACACACAAAAAGGGCCAACTGGAATCAGCTCAAAGGCCATCTTAATGGCTTGCATCAACCACTAAACTGTTATAAACCGGCTAAGCTATAAACACAACAGCATATCTGGGCACATTCAGCTTGGGTTACTGATGTGTCCCAGCTTTCTTCCAAGACATATTGTTGCCAGTCATTGCAGAGCAGCCACATCACCCCAGCTTTCTATGTTCCTTATACATAGAATATATATGCAAGCATATCAGGATGCAGGTTTTGGTGCAGCTTTTTTTTGTCTTCAGTTCTCCAGTGACATCCCTCCCTCCTTCAAAGTGAGCTTGCTAGTCACAGGAACTACAAAGAAGAACAGACTGCTTAGCTGCAACTGTGGTTGTCATCTCCAAACTCACACAACCTGCCTTTCCATGCACTGATGTCTATATGTAAGCTGGAGTTAGGCAGACTCAAACTGAGGAAAGGCATGGGCCTGTGCAGTAGAGAGGGTGAGGCTCCTACCAAAATTCAGTGACACACCTTTAGAAGAAGGTTCCCAAATGTTTTGTGCAAACACAATAAAACCCATAGTTGTGTGTTCACAGATTATCACTCCAAGGACCACAACTACAGGTAAGCAACCTGTTCTTCCCCATAATTTAAGACTTGTTACATTTAATTTAGCACCAAGAAGCTTAGCAGATCATGAGCCAGAATTCTGGAGGGACATAACTCGCCACAGCAAACTGCCACTAACAAGAAATGAGTTACTATGTGTAAATCTTATAATGTGACTAGCACCTTATGGGTTAATAGCAATTTGCCATGATAAGTTATACAATTTAACTCATGCATGTCTTAAGCCAGGAACAGGATTCTCACCAAGTTTTGGTTCAGAAGCAACATAACCAGCCAATACTGCGTTTGACATATTATCTTGCCGCAACCATCTAAAGAAATAGCATTTTATGCCTGAGGAGGTCAGCTCCTTAAGGGTTTTAACAGCGAGACTGTCCTAAGCAAAGAGAGCCGTTTAGAGGAAGCCACAGTCAGGTGGTAGGAAGAAGAAACTAAGAGTCAAATGGAACTGAATATATATCACTTTGTGGAGAGAAACATTAAAGAGAAATGGAAAAAAAACTCGAAGTTGTTCTTCTATCTGCTTCCCTTATCAAAAATAAATAAGAACTGAGGCACATGACCAAAATAAGAATTTACCTGGGTATTCGGTTGTGCTTTTTGAAAAACTCCAGCATTTTCCTATTGGGAGAGAATAGACATTTTCATTTGTACTGCTGAGAATAAAAACATTATCTATTCCTATTCATGCAGGAATATGAGCTGTTCCTGTACTTGGATCACAACTGCCTCATTTAAACATGTAAAACTAGCTGCCTCCAAACCTGGGGTGGAGAATCTCTGGCCCACAGGCTGGATTTGGCTTGCAGGGAGGGCCTGCTCTGGCAGCTTTCCTCCCTTTCCCTTTGGAAGCAAGTCAAAAAGGGCTGGGATAGCTATGGCATTTGCTACCCTTAGTCAAATCTGGTGCCAGGTTCGGTAGGACTCTTAATGGAAGCAGCACTCCCTTCCCATGGTAGCAGCTGCAAGATGGAGCTGAGAGCAGAAGCAGTAGCTCCCCTTAAAGCAGCTGCGTTCCACTGCATCTCCAGTGTCTCCTCTTTTTTTGGCTCCTGCTCCAGCCCCTAATGACTTTCTCCTAAATATTTCCATGAAGAGCTCCTCTGCTTCTGAAAAGGCTCTTCACTTGTGTTCTGAGGTAAGGAGAGTGTGAAAGAGGAGTAGGCAATGTGGAATATGACGACAGTGTGCCATCTCAAGTGAACAAATCATTGAAAGAAGAACTGGAGTAGGCAATGTGGAATATGACGACAGTTGTGCCGTCTCAAGTGAACAAATCATTGATAGAAAAATCATTGAGAGAGGGAACAGAAGGTGTGATTGTCAAAAGGGATGAGAGGGAAGGAATAAAGACAGAGGATTGTTTGGTGGAAGAGGGGAAAGGAAAGGAAGGGGAGGAGCTAACATTGTCAGTGTGGGAGGAAGATAAAAAGGAGGAGGAAGGGGTGAGAACATTCAGAAGACCCGGTGAAGAGATGAAAGAGGGAAGAGAAGCTGAATACCAAAAAGCACGCAACATTGCAGGACTTTCCCAACTTGAAAGTTGGAGGATTATTGTCGGATCCAGCTCCCAAGAAAGAAGGTGTAACCGTGACTGAGACATCAGAATGGATGGTAGTAGTATTCCCGAGGGGACAGGGTCATTCGTGAGGGTGATTCGCCCCAACGTCACATTCAACCAACTACCCCTCAAGGGGGACTGGGCGCGTCACCTGTGCTGTGGCACAATTTGTGCCGTGAGGAGCACACCATTACGGAAGCCAACTGACAGAGAGCATTTTGGTCTGACTCCACGGTGAAACAGGACAATTTATTCTTTAATGCGTTACCTAATTCTTATGGTCAACTTCCTGAGTTAAGCTGTTTTGAACCCATAGAGGTTGTTGATTCTTCGGATGTTAATAAATCTATTAAAGTTCAAAATGAGCCCTCTTGGTTATTTCCCACCCAAACTTACTCCGAACCCAATCACAGTGAGGAAAAGAATAGCAACCAGTGTAAAGCTTTAGTAGACTGTGACAGACACCTGACGTATTTCAGAGCTTCAGCACATTTAAGTTTTTCATATTTTTCTTTCAACCTGAGATACAAGCATCTTTGCTTGACTTACCAGGCTTCTTGTGCTCTCCCAGCTCTGGCAAATAATATAGTGATATGACTCAAAACAGAAGTTGTCCACTCGGGGGTGACTTGTTTAAATTCTCCTCCCTCATAGAGAGATTTTATGCTTGCAGCACAGTCGGCAAATGCAATCTGTGTCTGAAAGAGTCAATACAAATATTTGTTTACAAGGACTATCCTTCTGCAGAAGCAGGTAAAAGCCAGACACAAAAGTCTCTAGAGTACCTTTTTAAAATCAAATCCATTCATACCTGATGAATAAGGAACAAAAGGTGCCATGAAGTACAAGTCAAACTGCAAAAACTACTTCCCTCTAAGTTTTTAAAGGCCAAAATCCTACTGGAGTTTTATACTGGCATAATACCAACAGTTTAATTTTTGAAAGCAAATGGCCTGAAGGTAAGGAATGGCTGTAGATGTTATCTGTTGTGTGCCATGCTGTGCAACTCAGTACACAATTCATAATGTCTACTGTGATTTCTTAACTTGAGACAATTCATCTCCAAAAGCTACACCTTTTGCGTTAACACTTGCAAGCATAACTAACAGGACTGGCTAGTGTCAAAATATCCAGAGACAGTATGGATCAATGGGGAGAGAACCAGGTTTATAGCTTGGAAGTCATCTTCAATAATGAGGTGGCAACTAAGGCCAGGAGTACACAGACTGATGCCCGGTTGCACCCATTTCTGCAGAAGATAAACTCAACTACAAGCAAATGCCTTTGTCAGACTGATACTGCATTGTTAAGACATACATCAGAATGCCTTTGAAAATTGTTTTTAAAACTTCAAAGCTGATGTAAAATGCAGAACATTTTATTTTTATTTTAAGCTGTATGTTTCTATTACAAAAATGAACATTTTATTTTTATTTTAAGCTGTATGTTTCTAGTATTACAAAAATGTGGTGGCACCTCAAATACTGTCATATTTTAGTGTGGGTTTCTGTTGACAAGTCCATGTTCTCAGATGGCACCTTAAATACTATTATATTTTAGTGTGGGCTTCTGTTGACAAGTCCATGTTCTCAGACATAAAGAGAGAGAGATATGACATGGCAAATAGTTATACATGGCATCAAAATACAGAGATCATGGTCGGCTGGTTGGTAAGAAAGTCAATGGATATTTAACAGGTGACAACTTCTTCGATATACATATCAAAGAGGTATATTCCACTGAAGTCTGTGTTTTAAAGGATGTAAGAACCTCCGTCATGAATAACAATGCTAGAAGAACATATTAATTACACTGAGGAGACTGGCCTTTACAGTTGCTAATAACCTTTTCTTTACAGGAGGTTGCCTGCTGTAATCATCCATTATTCCAGGCAATGAATGACGCAAGAGCAACATGGTAATGATCGTTTTCTCAAGTCATCCTAGGAACAAAGTTAGGCCCAGAAAATGATTGGCTCATAGCTATCCAGGGAGTGTCATGCATTTGAACCCAGGCCTTGGTAATGCAACCTCATCACTATTAACTACTTGGTAGTTAAACATTATCACCGTGCTGCTCACTAGATAGGATTTAGTTAAAAGATGTTAAATGTCAACAACAAAACTCACCTCAAGAGGCTGCACGTCTCTGGCCATCAGATCCAAAACTTCCTCTGCAATAATAAATCTCTGGTGGTGCGAAAATTGTTGATTGTCTGTACGGGGAGAAAGTGACACAAATGAGGCATAGCAAGAGGTTTTCTGCCTGTAAAGTCAAATAATTTTACTGCAAACAAAAATGGTCACAGATGGCTCCTTTGACTGTCAATTACTTTTTGCACTTTTATATAAATGTGGGAAAATAAAGTTGTCTCAGTGCTAAAGACAGCTTTATACATTTGCATTAACATTATGCTTACGCGAAAGTGTAGCAGCTGTTTGTCTTTTTCTTGTGTTACTTAACACATCCTGTGGCCAAAATCTTGGAATGGTACATCTTTTTTATGAGAGGGACAGTTTGAGGAGGAGCAAAAGAGACACACGTCAGTCAACTTGAGAGAACCACATTGCTCCTTAGATCTCAGTGCACATTTCCAAGGTCTGCTGACTCTAGAAGTGGTTTGTCTAACCAATGTAGCAACACCAAATTTGGAAGATTCCTTCTTGGCTGCACTGAAAATGAGAACACAAAGGGCTACCAACCTTTCCAGAGTTCGGGAACAATTTCCAAATGGTTGGCTGTGTCCAATGCCTGTAGAAGACTCTGCATCCCTTCAACATTTAGGTAAAATACCTGAGGAAAGAAAGAGACACTGGCTTTTTTAAATCACCCCCACTTCAGATTAGCAGATTTTTATGGGGAAGGAACTTTAAGAACAAATACTTACTGAAGGAACTAGTTCTTTATACCATTTCATTATCACATCAAATTGTTCCATTATGCATAGTAAGTGAAAAAATCTTCCCCTGCAGGCAAAGCATGAAATCTCCAGTTTTAAAACACCCAGCAGCGTTTGAGATGGAACCAGTTAATTTATAGACCTATTACATTTATTTTGTGACTTCTCATAGGCCTAGGTAGTTTACAAAAAAATAATTTTAAAAATATTTCCATTAAGAACACATTACAATCTTAACACTCTAAAATTAACTAATCAGAATTAAAATATGCAGCTGGTTAGTGTAGCTGAAATTACACAAGCCTTATATGGTTCTCTTTTTTAAAACCCTTGAAGACATGCAATCAAGTAAGATACAGTTAGGAGAAAGTTCAGAAGAAAAAAAATCTGACAATATTTCCTCCTTCCCGCCTCTTTATGAGTAATTTCCTACATAAACAAATAAGCAAATAAAATCTGGTCCTTTTAAAAGTCTCTCTTTGTTAGCCTCAAATACCATCAAAAGTTAAGTACCGTATATGCCGGCGTACAAGACGACTTTTCCTTTTGGGGCCCCAAAAACATGCCTCCAAGTGGGGGGGTCGTCTTGTACGCTGGGCCAGGAAGGAGCCGCCGCTGCCACTGAGTGAGTGAGTGATGCGGGGCTGCGCTGGCCGAGGAGGAAGGCAGGCGGGCAGGCAGGCAGATGGAGAGAGGGAAGCACTCGCTCGCCCACCACCCCCCCGCTTCCCCTCTTCCTCCTCCTTCTCCTCTTCCTGCCTCCACTGCCTACCCAGCCTCTTCTCCTCTTCCTTGCCCTCTTGCTGCTTGAGCCAGCCGGCGCATGTGCGCTTGCCCGCCACCCGCCCACTTCCCCTCTTCCTCCTCCTCCTCCTCCTCCCACTGCCTACCCAGCCTCTTCCCCTTTTCCTCGTCCTCTCGCTGCTTGAGCCAGCTGGCGTGCGTGAGCGCGCTCTTCCCCTCTTCCTCGCCCTCCTCCCCGCTGGCCATGAACTTCCAGGGCAGGCCCAGGCAGAAACCCGGGCAGCTGCTGCCGGCGCCGCAGCAGAGTCATCCACTCTAATATTTTGAGTGGAAATGTTGGGGGGGGTCGTCTTATACGGCCAGTCGCCTTGTACGGCGGCATATACGGTACTTAAATCTCATCCTGAATGAATAGTCAATCCCATGAAAGGAATGTTTCTGCACCACGCCTTGGCTAGAACAGAAAACCTGTACCAAAAGCGGGGAGGAAGGCAGGCAGGCAGATGGAGGGAGGGAAGTGGCGCTTGCTCGCTCGCCCGCTACCCCCGCTTCCCCTCTTCCTCCTCCTCCTGCCGCCGGGGAGGAAGGCAGGCAGGCAGATGGAGGGAGGGAGGGAAGCGGCACGCGCGCATTCGCCCGCTTGCCTGCCACCACCCTGCTTCCCCTCTTCCTCCTCCTGCCGCCGCCCCCCCAGCCTCTTCCCGGCGCCGCATTTTGGGGGGGTCGTCTAATATTGCCGGTTGCCTAGTACGGCGGCATATATGGTATATAATTATTTCCAAACTGGCAGCATATGTTCTCACTCCCTTACCCCATTAACCAGATTGGCAATAGTGTTTTGCCCCCCATGAAGCTACTGACAATATGGAGCAACAATTACCAGTAACGCATTTGCTGGAAATGGTTTCTCATCATTTTTCTGTTCTCTCCTGTATCCAGTATTCTATTAAGCTGGTAGGCAAGTTGGATATCCTTCAGATTCAGGCACTGTAGTGAAGACAAACAGCATAAATGCTAAAGCCCAAGACATAACCATCCTACTAAACAGGACATGACAAAACTTGGGCAGAGTGGGGTGGAAATCATTTTAACAAGATTCTGATCTTCATGTTAATAATGTTAGGAAGCTTGAGCACTTGGAGGAGAAGGGAGTAATCACTGAATTATAAACACAATAAACTTCCACAATAAACAAAATCATTTCCAAAGCAGAATTTTCCAAGTGGAAAATGAAATACCAAGACATTTCATCTATCACCCACTCAGATAAGGTAAAGAAAGATTAGATACAAAATGAGCAACATTTTTCTGGCATTTCAATCCCTATATCAGCTAGGCAAGAATAGTAAATAGCAAGACTCTTGCACTAAGTACAGGTTCTCCAGACCACAATTCTACATTTCCATTTAGACTACAAAAATGGCACATAAAAAACACCAGCATATTTGCTCTTGAGTGTTCTATAGTAATGGCAAGGTTACTGTGATAGTGTCCTTCTGCATGTCTACAGGACTGAGAATATGAATTTATATGAAGTATTTATATGGAGGTATACAAATGGCAAAGAGAGCAGTTCAACTCGTGGAACACACCAAAGTGCTTTGCAGACTACTGCTGTTGTTATGTGCCATCAAGTCGCCTACAACTTATGATGAGCCTATGAATGACCTATCTCCAAAATGTCCTGTCCTCAACAGACCTGCTCAGCTCTTATAAAAGCAAGCCTGTGGTATTTTTTAGGGAGTCAGTCCATCTCATATTTGGTCTTCCTCTTGTCCTGCTCCCTTTAAACCTTTCCCAGCATCATTGTCTTTTCCAGAGAATCTTGGCTTCTCATGATTTACCAAAGTAGAACAGCTTCAGTTTCAGCATTTTTACCTCCAGAGATAGTTCAGGCTTTGCAGATTAGCAAACATAATTTAGAGGCAAACAGAAAGAGATGGAACTCTATTTTCACATCAAAGTGTTCACGGAAACCAAGCCTACTTACTATTCTCATGGCTGTTATGAAGAATTTGTCTAAAAGAGAAGAAATAACAGGTACTGTTAAATTTGTGATAATTTTTCTAGCAAGACACACAAGTTACGTTTACTGACACAGATCCAGAGGTACAAACAACCCAGTATCTCAAGCAATACCATTTTAATGAAACAGTTTCTCAGTCCGAGATAATAACCAAGAGTACATTATATTATTGGACTTCAGCTCCCAACCTTGGACAATATCTTTGCATCCCACTGCTTGTGGAAGTCATTTAATATTCTTAGAGATTCTTCCCACCCTGCTTATAACTTCTTTGAACTCATGCCTTCTGGCAGAAGATACAGAGCAATTAAAACTCGGACGGCACACTTTTTGAACAATTTCTATCCTAGAGCTATAACTGAACTTAACAAGGAACTTAAGAATCACCAGCAGTGAGTTGTTGGACTGTATTACTATTACTTGGTCTGTTGTGTTGTATGTTGTGTGGATATGTGTGCTCTTAGGTGGGGTTCTGGGTTTTAGGATTGTTATGAGGGTGTGTGTGTTTTGGTCTGGTCTCTGAGTGTTCTTCGTAAATTTCATTGTATGTGTACACAGTGTATATACGGCTTCAGTTTCAGCATTCTTATTCTTATTCTTCTTCTTATTATTATTTGACAAATCTACATCATGACCTGGAACACAGAACACTGAAGAGAATTTATAGTTTGGTAAAGACCTATAGCAAGATGGATGAAATACCATGCAGGTGAAGCCTATAAAAGCTAACTACAGTGGTGCCTCGCACAACGGGCGCCTCGTAGAGTGATGAATCCGCTCTACGCGGCCGGTTTTGCAATCGCAAATGCGATCGCGAAACGGTGCCCGCATAGGGCGAAAATCGCAGAGCGAAGGTCAGTAAGCAGTTGGCTTACCGACCTTCGCTTTGCGACCCGCCAATCAGCTCGTCGGCGGGTCCA